AGAATTGACAGGGGCTGTTTTGTTGTTGTTAAAGAGCAACCTTCAATTACAAGTTTAAAATAAACCTGGTTATCCTCCCTAGCTGCTGGCCTCCTCATGGGGGTGGTAATGGAAAGGAGAGGCCGGAGGGTTCTGTGCCTGGGGCTCTGCTCCAAGGCAGGCAAGCAGGCAGCTGGCGCTCTCACCCCGAAAATTGGAGGCCTTGCTTGCTCCTTGGCCCTTTCAAAGCAGCCTTTGGAATCCAGCAGTTTAGCAAAAATGCAGAAACCCCAAACAAGACTTTTAGTTTATTGGCGTTTAGGCAGTGGCCATGTCTGCCTGTGGGAGCCCTGGGAGGAGCCACCACAGAGCCTGGAATCTGCACACTCTAAACACTATCTGGACTTCGCATCCCTCCTCCTGAGACAAATTCTGTCTTTAGGAAGCAGAAGCCACAGCTGTCTTTGCAGCCAGCTGCTGGATCCACCTTCTTCTGAACCAGGCTTTGGGGTCTACACCAGGGCTTTTCAAACTTTACTGTACACACGAATCCCCCGTGTTAAAAAAGTAGATTTTGGGCTCGGTGCCCACAGCTCAGTGATTTTAGGGTGCTGGCCACATGCACCAGGGCTGGTGGGTTCGAACCCGGCCAGGGCCTGCTAAACAACAACAAAATAGCTGTGCGTTGTGGTATGCACCTGTAGTCCCAGCTACTTGGGAGGCTGAGGCAAGATAATAGCCTAAGCCCAAGAGTTTGAGGTTGCTGTGAGCTGTGATGCCACAGCATTCTACTAAGGGCAACATAATGAGACTCTGTCTCCAAAAAAAAAAAAAATGTAGATTTTGACTGAGTGGGTCTGGGTGGGCCTGAGGTTCTTGTTTCTAACAAGCTGCAGAGGCTGCTAGTGCTGCTGGTTCTCAGACCACACTCTGAGTAGGAAGGCAGGGAGTGGCTAGGCCTCATCCTGGGTGCTAGGTCTACACGCCTGGGGCTGGGCTCTGACACAGAGTGGGGATGTACAGTAAGTACCTAGGCCACAGTTGGGTCCTGGAGCCACAGGGAGCCCAGCAGCATGAGCAGGAAGGTGGCTGGATTCTAGGGCCAGAGGAGGCCAGGGAGGATGGGGTGGCAAGGCTTTTGGGCTTCAAGGACAGTGACTGTATCTTGGTGATCTCCCATGAGCCCCTCCAGATGAACGTGCCCCAGGGAAGCTCTGCCCACCACCTCACCGGGCAACACACACTGCATTCCCTTAAGACTCTGCAGAAACAAGGCAAGACCCTAACATGCCTCTTAATGTACATTAACTCATCTAACCCAGACGACAATCCCACGGAGCAGGTACTAGTGCTGTTCCCTTCTCAGGGATGGGGAAACAGAAGGCACAAAGCCCCTCACGGGCCCTAAGAGGCAAAGCCAGGATTCATATTCTAGCCAGCTTGTGCCAGGAGACATGGCTCTTGGGTATTTCTCTACCCTAGCTCTTCAACACAGGGGCAGTTGACTGGGCTGTGTCTACCGGCAGGAGGCCCCGAGGTTTGGGATCCCTTTACTCTGCGCTGGTTCACCCGATCTGTCACCTGATAAATCCCCACACAGGCATGCTCCTCCTCTGGGCTCCCCACACAAGTGTGTGTTGGTTAAGTTTTGTTTCAACACAGGATGTTCTTTCCACTTGTATGAGGCACTGAGAGTAATCAAATTCATAGATAGAAAATAGAATGGGGGCTGTAGAGGCTGTGAGTGGTGGGGATGGGGAGTTCTAATGGGAACAGCATATCAGTTTGGGAAGATAAAAAGTTCTGGAGGTGAGGCCGGGCATGGTGGCTCACGCCTGTAATCCTAGGATTACAGCTACTTGGGAGGCTGAAGCAAAAGAATTGCTTGAGCTCAGGAGTTCGAGACCAGCCTGAGCAAAAGTAAGACCCCCGTCTCCACCAAAAATAGAAAAACTGAGGCAAGAGGATCACTTGAGCCCAAGAGTCGGAGGTTGCTGTGAACTATGATGCCATGGCACTCTATCCGGGGTGACAGATTGAGATTCTGTCTCAAAAAAATAAATAAATAAAATTGTGGAGGTAGATGATGGTCATGATCATGATGCACTTAAAGAGGTTAAGATGACTTCTATGTTAAGTGAATTAAGGTGACAAGGTCTCACTCTGTTGCTCAGGCTGCAGTGCAGTGACATTATCATAACTCAATGCAAACTCCAACTCCTGGGCTTAATTGATCTTCCTGTCCCAGCCTCCTAAGTAGCTGGGTCTATGGGTACATGCCACTATGCCTGGCTAATACTTTTTTCATATATTTTTGGTAGAGACAGGGTATCACTATGCTGCCCAGGCTGGACTTGAACTCCTGACCTCAAGTGATCCTCTGGCCTTAGCCTCCCAAAGTGCTGGGATTATAAGCAGGGGCCACCATGGACAGCCCACTGCTATCTTTTGCTTGCATTACTATGGCCCTGCTGTGGTGGTCTCTCTGCCTCCTCCCCTGTCACTGTCAAGGAGAGGCCAGTGTCCCCTCTTTGCCCTCACCCGTTGCTCCTGGCACTCTAGCTTCCTGGCATCCTGCAGGGGCCTTGCTCTCCAGTGCCCCCTTAGACATCTGTGTGGGTGACTTCCTTACTGCTGGCTGTCCCTCAGGCCTGTCTGGGCCTCTTGCCCCGCCCCCTGTGGCTTCCTCTTCCCCTTGGATGACACTGACATACTCTATCTTCCATCTGTCTGTTTACTGCCTATCTCCCACCGTTAGGGCTTAAACTCCACAGGAAAAGAAGTCCGTTTTGCTCTATGCTGTGTCTTCAGTGCCTATGGCAATGCCGGGAACATAGTGGATGTCCAGCAAACACTCTTGTTGGACAAAAACATAATCAAGGTTAACTGGACCTTGGGAAGGAATAGACAATTGAAACTGCCCTAAAATCTCACAATAGTCTACAGATCTTTACTTTTGGCAACTACAAAAGCAAAACTAATTTTTAAACGTATGCCCCTTTCATTTTTCCCATCCTTCTAACAGGGGAACATGGAAAAGAGAGTCCAAAGGGAGGAAGCAGAGGGAGCCACAGGTGGAGATATCTATGTTGGTCACCATTCTTTGAAGGCACTATGAAAGACCCAAATCAAATTTGTTATCTAATAAACAGTTTATTCTTAATGATGAGGTTCATGTTAATATAAATTACTATTGGAGCCAAAAATAAATTCTACAAAAAGTGTTCACTCTGCATGTGCCTAATTCCCTTCCTTCTCCAGGACAGCTGCGGAGGAAACTGGACACAAGTTCAAGGCATCAGCCTTCATGGCCTGTGCAGGGCCCTTGCCTGCCCTCTGGCCACACCCCTGCTCACCAGTCGTGCCCATGCCATTCCCCCATGTTCCCAGGCTGTGCCAGTGGGTGCCTGGCACAAATGTGTAGGTTAGCCTCAGTCCTGGGCAGGGACACAAGACACCCTAGAAGGGAGAACATGGGCTAGAATGATCTGCTGGGGGCTCTGGGGTCGCCGATGCCCTGAGATGCCCCAGCCCACCTCCAGTTCTTCTGTGTTAGAAATAGGTAAGTAACAGTGTTTGCCCCACATCAGTCGTTTTAAGTAACAAGCAGAGCTCTTTTGATTCATCCAATCTCTTCACCTCCTGAGAATGCTTTTTCTGAGGTCACCTGTGTGGTGGGGTGGGGATGAGAATGGGGGTGAGGGAGGGGTGGCCGCCAGGTCTGAGCTCCAGTGTTTTGCCTATTTCACCAATAAGGACTGCTCCTTACCTCAGAGTGACCAGGTAGATACAGTCCAAAGTCTATCAAGAAACCAAGTCCATCCATCTGGGGGCTGTATATAGCACTGAGGTGGCCAGCAGCAGCACTGCCAGCCTGCACTGGAGAGGTTTCCCATGAGCTGCTTATGCTATCAGTTCTGAGTTATTTGGCTCCTTTATTTGTCAAAGTCAGGACTCTCACTGGTATCCCATCAAAGCCAGTCTCCTGGGGCTGGGCGAGGGAGGGAAGAAGCAGCACTCAAAGAGGAGTATGGGGAGGCTTAAGGACCACAGGGCCACATGTCTCCTGCAGTGACCTGGCACTTACAGGTGCAAAGTATAAGCCGGGCATGATGGATCATGCCTATAAACCCAGCACTCTGGGAGGCCGAGGCCAGTGCACTGTTTAAGCGCAGATGTTGGAGACCAGCTTGAGCAAAGGCAAGACCCCATCTCTACTAAAAACAGAAAAACTAGCTGACTGTCGTGGTGGGCAGCTGTAGTCCCAGCTACTTTAGAAGCTGAGGCATAGAGGATGGATTGAGCTCAAGAGTTTGAGGTTGCTGGGAGATATATGATGATGCCATGGCACTCTACCTAGGGTGACAAAGCGAGACTCTGTCTCAAAAAAAAAAAAAAAGTGCAGCATATAGAATGCTCAACATTTTTTTTAGCACTATCTACAATCGCTTCTTCCATAACCAACTTCCTTCAATGTTGTTTCTTGAGAACCACTCCCTTGTTAGAAGATACAGGGTTTTGCCCATTGCTTTTTTACGATAGACCCCCACCCTGGGTTTACTGAACTCTGCCTACACTAGCACATTTTGTTCTCCCTCCACCCAGTGCTGACTCCATCCCTTATAATGGGGTTGCAGGAAGAGGCAAGGACTTCTTAGAGGAGTTATAGCCCAGAACACAGAATTCTTGGCTTTAGCAGTTGCTAGACAATGACTGACAGTGGCCTGCATCACGGTGCCCCCTGGTCTCACCTGCTGGACCCATGCACCCAGGATGAAGCCTCTCATTCTGAAGCTCAGACGGTGACAATTCCACTCTCTCTCTCAAGACAGCCCCCACAGCTGCAGCCACACACTTTCTAAAGATGCTGCCCAGGTGACGGTCCCTTTTTGTGCACCTGGGATGCCCATAGTGTTGGTGACTCCCCGATGGCACCTGATACCTGTGACCTCCCCCAAGTGGACTGTGAGTGTGGGGACGGGATGATAGCAAATCACAGGACAGCTATGTGACAGGCAATCTGCCGCTTTTAAAATATAACATTTATTGCTTAGATGGTTTGATACACAACAGCTTTCTTTTTATTCTGAATTTGGAAGTTCTATACAACTGAATACAAAGAGGAACAAAAAGTACCAAAACCAAACTTGTGATTCTCTGTTCATGTGGCATAAACCAGTTTTGTACATTAACATGTAGCAGCAGTTTTTAAGTTCCCTTTAGAAAAAGATGAATTCTAGACATTTATTATTGTTTCCTGTTTAATGCATGGGCTGAAATCACTAGGATCAACTTCCTTCTTGGAGAAAGAGAGGAGAGGAAAGAGACGAACAGAGAGTCAGAACATGATGAATCTTTCCGAAACTGGCATCCGACTGTTAACGTAGCTTCCCCAGAGCTGCCTGGACAACAGCCCTTTGGGGTCTTTTCTGTTCTGTTTTCACAGCCAGGTGGTTCATGTAGTGATTGAATCTCAGCATTGTGTCCATTAATCAACGAGAAAAAAAAAAAGAGAGAGAGAGAAAAAAAACTTGCACCTCAAAAAACTTTTCAGAAGATCCATATATATATATATATATTTTTGTAAAAGCCCTGAGAGGAGAAAGAGAATCAAACAAAATGTATAGAAACAAATTAGCTGGACATGCAAACTAAGCTATGATTCACCCAGAGTTTTAAACAAATCACAAATTTCACAGTTTAATATTGGGGAAGGGGCAGAACAACAAACAAATAATACATCTCTCAACCTCACTAGTAAAATGTGGCAAGACCTTATTGACTACGAGGGTACAGATGAAGGCTAAATAAAGCTTTAAATCATAGTGATTATTGCGAGCTGCAGCCCCGGCTACACACATTGCTGGGAGCTGATTACTGCTACATCTCACCGCAGCGTAGCGTTTAGTCACGGCTCCTCCCCACAATATTGCGAGTTTAGTGTGGAGAGTTGCAAAGAAAAACAAAACACAAAGAAACCCCAAATAATAATAACAACAAAAATAACAATAACAATCGTAATAATAATAAAAAAAAACCACTAAGGGATGTATGAACTGGTTTTAACTAAGTAGACCAAAGGGATCATTGGTTCTGATTTGCATTCATCTCTACAGTAAATAAAACTTCATTTTAAAACTGGTTCATACATCCCTAATACAGTTAAAAATCATATATACCTCAACCTTTTTCCTTTCATATGCAAAGATATCACTTTTCACTACCTCAAGACTATCTATCTTCCGTTGAAGTCTGGCAGGTTGGATTTCAGCCACCAGAAATGGGTGGAGAAAAGGGGGTGCGTGTTGTCTTTGTGCACACAATCTAAAAGTAAATGAGCCCATGGGGCCATAGAGAGCCGGGGAGGGACGCTGGGGCAGAGGGATGCCTCCCCAGGGGAGGCAGGAGGCTCCAAGTGGAGCAAACACAGGGGGTCCCCGGCAGCAGGCTGGCCCGGGCGTCCAGGTCCTGGCTGCAGGACACTGCCCGAGCTCAGCTACAGTAGGATGTATTCCCCTCGCTGCAGGCCACAGTGAGGGAGGCTTATCGCCTGCACAGGATGCTCGTGGGTAAGAAGAATCCTGCCTTTTTGCACCCAAGGGTTTGAGCTATTTAAGAAACTTAGGAATAGCATATTTATGTTTAAGCACCAACCCCGAATCGCAGGAAGGTTAAGTATACACCTGTTTCTCATTTGACATCTTGCATGTGTAGTTTTGTTACCAGTAGTAGTATTTCCTCGCTTTGCAAATGACAGTAGCACAGCTGGGTAAGGCTTGGACCGGGCTTAGCAGGAAGACTGGGGATACCCTGCTGGTGAGTAAGGCGCTCCTCACTGCCTTGCTTTCTCAAAAGCCATCTCTGCAGTGCTCCGGGCACACCCTGGCTTCCCCCTTCTCCATGCTGCTCCCTGGACGCATGCATCCACACTCTCCCTTCTCTAAGCTGCTCTCCTCGGCCGTGTTTGGGACGACCGCTCATGGCCCCTGCTGGATTCTGCAGTCATGAAAGAAAGGCTTGTCTGAGTACAGTAGAAGAGCTACCACCCAAGGGTGCCAGCGGCAGCCACAGGCAAAGGTTTACAGGGACCCAGAGGCAGCACAGGTCTCCCAGGACAAATATTGCCCATTTGTTTCTGCTGACTGCAGAGACCAGGAAACTGATGAACTAAAAATAATATTAATAATAATAATAATAATACATATACTGAAAGGAGAGAGAGGGAAAATCAAATATATGCCATCCATATAGGTTTTCCATAGCTAAGTTGCTGGTGGGGTGGGCAGGGGGGTTAACTCTTCTCTGTAAATTAAGAACAAATGTCTTAAAACTTGAACAGTAACCATGTCTAACGCTGAAAGAATAGAAACACGAGGTTGAAGCTAGAATCTTTCCTGGCTTGAAACCATATTGGAAACCTTCATCAACCACATCCTGTAATACCAAGGACCAGACGGCAGCTCTACCATGTAGCAAACAGGGGGGAAAAAAGGTCTATTTGAGAAATTATCATCTTATCCATCTCTCCTCTGGTCACTTATATGAAATTCACATCATCATTTTCTTCCAGTTATTGGCTATGGGTATTCAGGGGTATGTTTTTTTTTTTCTTCTGTTTCCAGCTCACAGAACAAACAGTACTATCACAGATTCACAAGAACAAGCTCACACGCACACCAATACAAAAGGTAATATTAATGCTCAAATGAAGAGGTCCTCTCCAGACAATTCATTAAAATATTTGTTTTTTAAAGAAGTCATTTTGGAAAAACACCACACTCACGACGAGGTGGCAGGATCCGGTAAGTAGTTAAGGCACTGGACGCGGCATGCACTGTGGCCTCGCACGCCTACGGTGAGGATATGGCACTGGGGGGGCCACGCTCTTGCTCGTCTCTCGTTCTCACTCCCTGGCAAGCAGAGAGCACAGAGGAAACCTCATGAAGTACAGATTCGGATGCTCTGCTCTGCTGGCTTGTGTCTGTGTGCTGAGGGGGACTGGCGGGCTGTCATTCCATCCCCAGCAGCTGCGCGGCCCCGTCGCCGGTGGCCAGGATGGGGTGGGTAGGCCTCTTGCTGCGGGGCTCCAGCAGGTCTGGCACCAGGGCTGTGGGGCTTTCCGGGTCAGGGTCACCCCGGGTGGGCTCGGCCACCGGCTCCGCTGTGACCTTCTCCTCCCTGCGGCAGCAATCCTTGGCCGCATTGGCCAAGCTCTCTTTCCGGCTCCGGGTGACGGCCACGTGGTTGCTGGTGTTGGGAGCTGACTCGGCCTCATTCTCTGAGACCGGGTTGCCACTGTGAGTGGACTCATTCTCGCTGTCCTCCTCGCCCCGCTCATCCTTGTCGCTGTCCTTCCCATGGTGTTTGGTGTGCCTGGCCTTCTGGTGGATCCGCTGGTGGCGAACTAGGCTGTGCTTCAAGGTGAAGGTTCGCTCGCAGGTCTGACATTTGTATGGTCTCTCCCCTGGAGGACAGAAGAAAGATTGTGTCTCCATTAATAACAGTAAGGCCACCAGTATCCATCTCCCTGGGCAGCATGTGTTGGGGGCTCCCTCTCCTACTGAGAGTTCTCTTATCTGAACTAGCTAACAAGGGCCACACTCTCCTGCTCCTTTCAACCCGAGTGTTCTACATACTCAAACAGGAAATCAGAATCCCAGAAGCAGAGGCTTCATGGACACGCAGACTTGCCTTGACCAGAACCTAGGAGAGAGTCTAGCAGAAGGACGGGAGCAGACTGTCCCCCAGGGCTCTGCATGGACAGTACCACCTCCTAAGAGATGCTTTCTGTGTCTGATGTGCAGCAGCCCGGGCTTTTCCAAAGGTCCACGTACTGAGCCAAGAGCAGCTGAGACAGTCGCCTGTCAAGCCCCAGAGTATCTCTGAGCCCAGCATGCAGCCTTCACACCCCTGAGCATGGGGCTGGGGTATGTGGGGGAGCACGTGCCTGCTGTGGGTTGTGCTGTCAGTGGGAGGAAAGCTGAGACCAAGTTCAGGGCCTGGGGTTTCCTGGCCCAGGGAGGGAGGAAGACTGTATCTCCTGGCTTCATGAGTTATTCAGCTTTTCTTTTTTCTGCCAAAACAAAGTCCCCTGCTTTGGGGTCTGTAGCCTCTATCCTGTAGGGCCTCTTACCCCGGCCCTCTTAGAGGGCATACCAACAACCTCAGTAAATGCTACCTCGGGGCCCTCCCACACCAGTCCAGACCCGACTCATCTCCCGTGGCAGCTGTGTGCCTGGTCCTCCCCCTTTACCTGTGTGGGACCGCATGTGGCGGGTCAGGTCCTGCAGTGACCAGAACCGTTTGTTGCACACGCTGCAGACTTTCTTCCTCTTGTCCGCCTTGCTGGCCACGCTTTTGGGGGAGTCTGTCTTTGGTTTCTTGTCATCATCACTCTTCTCCGAAGACCTCTTCTCCACTGTGCCCTCCCCATCAGAGGGGCAGTCAGCCTCCTCCTCGCCTTGCTTCTCTACTGAGGCTTCCCTTGTATCCACTGCTGGCTCCAGCACCACCGCTGTGGGCTCGGTGGGCTTTTCCTCTGGCTCAGGGCTGGGTGGTGGCCTCTCCACCACTCCACCCTCACCCTCTGGAGGCAGTGCACCCTTCTCATCCCTGGGCTCCTGACGGCTATGTGCTTTCCTGTGGCGGCTCAGGGTGCCCAGGAACTTGAAGCTCTTCCCGCAGGTGTCACAGGCATGCTTCTGGTCCTGAGGGGCAGGGCCTTCACTGCCCATGGTGCCTGCCTCGCCCTCAGCCAGCTTGAAGTCCATGAGCTTACTGGCGAAGTCCAGGTCGAGGCTCTTGTTGCTGGCCGTGTCTTCTTCTGCACCATCAGTGCCATCGGTGTCCTGGGCTCTCTCCTCTGTGCTGTGTTCCTCCTCTGGCCCCTGGTTCTCCTGGGCACCCTTCTCTTCCTTGTTCACAGGGGAGTCTATCCCTGCCTCGGCCTCCTCTGCAGGGTGGTCCCCTGCACCTTGGCCAACCTCAGCGGCTCCCTGGGATGGCGACTGCTCCCTGTCCCTTGAGGTGAGATCTAGCACTTCGCCTGCCGTGGCCAACGGCTCTGCGTCTGACTGGCTATCTGTGTGGGCAAGCACAGTGCTGGAGTTCAGACAGGATGTCACCAAGGATGCCCCTTCCAAGGACACCAGAGGGACTCAGCTAGACCCACCCTGGCAGCCCACACCCCAGACCCACATTCTCATCACCCTTTACATCCCTGAGGAGAACCAAGATGAACCTGGGAACTTCAGAAAGGCAAAAACAGCCTCCACATGCCCGCAGGTGGGTTCCCAGGATGAGCTGGGCCTCCACTGCCACACACACAGATGCTCAGCTGCCCCCACCCCGCAGGAAGGTGTGAGTGACTCAGGCAGCACAGACAGGGGCTGCGAGGTAGGAGAGGGGTGCATTCCAGAGGCTCTCAGCACTAGGGAGGTTGAGGAAGCTGAGTTGTAAGTTATTTTTCCAGAGCAAAGAGATTATACAAACATGCAACATACACAGGACCACCCCCAGAATCCTCCAAAGCAAGGTCTCTGGTGAGTTTCCTAGGAAAGGACCCCAAGTCTGCATTCTGTGTACATGGTACATAGGCTCTTGCCTGACAGCTCACTTCCAGGTGAAGAGTTCAGAGGCCAAGGATGACACATGTATATTTGTAGGTTTTCTGGCTGCCATCAGCTCCATGAGTGGTGGGAACATTACAAAAGGGAAGCGTCCCCTCCACGCCAGGCGTGGCACGAGCACAGACGCAGGGGAGCAGACTGTGAAGGACTGTGATGGTTTGCAGATGAGGCGCCTGGGCAGCCCTGACTTCTCACCTCCTCCTTGGTTGCTAGGTGTCCACTGCACACAGTCAAACTGCATGTGGAAAGCCCACCAGTTTTCAACAACCCTCTTAAGGGACAGCACTACAGCAACATTAACGACACTCAACAGTGTCAAAAGTCCTGCCTTGCCTTCTCTGTATTCAGGTTGAACTAGGACTTAGTAACTTTTTAAAAATAAATGTACTGTAACAGTAAATCCCAAGCTGGCTAGGACCTACTATTCAACTATAGGTCCAATGGCTATTACTGGAGGGATTCAGGAGCTCCTCTGAGAATCAGGCAGGCGGGATTCCTTGGTTATATAACACAAATATTAGATGCACCTTTCTCTATACACCACATCTGATTATAGTGCTTGAGCCACAAAGATTCATGTACCTAATCTGGATTCTCCCTTGACTGGACCAGACATGGCACAATGTCAGTCCCCATCTGCTATTCCTCTTCAATGTCCCATTCAAGATTACCTGCCATCAAGGTGGCCATGGGGTCTGAGGTAAGGAGCTGGTCCTGCCTCTGCCCGTGGGGTGAGGAGATAGTACCTACCCTGCCTGGGGCTTCTGGAGTACCTACAATTGTCTGCATAACTTCTACTTCTATCATTTTGTTTCGTTTGTTTTATACTGACTATACCTTTTGGCAGCCGCTGTTGGGGCATCAAAAGAGGTTTCAAAGGGAAACAAATAATTATGGTGTGATTGTAAAATTTTTGACAAGAAATGATTGTTGAAAGTTACCTGAAAGCTTAAAAGCTATGAATCCTGAGATATGCACACCAGTGTCTAGGCTGCATTGCAAGGAAAACCAAGATGCTCATTTTCTTGAATCATGTCAACAGAGCATCTGTAGAATGGATTTTAGTATAAACTCTACAATAAAAATAATCTACTTGTTGACTTTGTGGCAATTTTTTTAAAAAGGTTTAATCTCTGGTTACTTCCTCTTTGAACCAGTATATCTTATGCTATTTCTATTAATTTGTTTTTTTAGTAAAGAACATGGATTATTTTAATTTTGTGAAACATATTTAAAATGATACACCCTGAAAAAAAAAATGAATTCTGAAACCAAATCCAGGTAAATATACTAAGATCAAACTGTTCTGTTCTTTGGTATGGATGATGGCAAGTTCCCCGTCAGTACAACAAAGGCCAACTCACTTCCTCTTTGGACAAATGGGGCTTGACTGTAGCCTACCAAACTCCCACCAGGGGGAGTGTTTTAGCCGGGTAGCCTGTGCCCTTCAAGTTCCAACCAACTCCATTTGAGTTTTAAAAATTTTTGATATTTATCTTTTTATTTTACTTTTTGAGAGACAAAGTCTTGCTCTGTTGTTCAGGCTGGACTGCAGTGGGGCCATCACAACTCACTGCAACATTCAATCCTCGGGCTAAAGCGATCCTTCTGCCTACAGCAGGATAGGGACACATCACATCTGGCTACTTTACAGTACCTTTTTGTAGGGATGGGGTCTTACTATGTTGCCCTGGCTGGTCCTGAATTCCTGGCCACAAGGGATCCTCCTTCCTGGGCCTCCCCAAATGCTGGGATTCCAGGTATGAGCCACTATGCCTGGCCCCAACTAAGCTTTACAAGTGATTCTTATGACAATATCCGTCACCTCTTCATGTATCATAAATACCTTAACTAATAAGGCCAGGTCCTATTTAGATCCCTACTTCCCTCAACACCCAAACTCCCAAATGCAGGTAGCTGAGCTGACTGATGACTTTTTATAAGCAACACTACCTTAAAAACATGCATTTCTCCTCTGCCTGTTATTCCTCATCCATATTGTTAACCACTGAAGAAAACGGCTAGAGGAAGCTTAAGGGATCCTAGTAGACTACAAACTCAAAGCTCCCCCTACAGGACATTGGAAACTCCCATACATGGGGAAGACAACCCATCTAAATTTAGTTCCATATCAAGCAGCACAGCTTGGTGGGAAGGACAAACTGTATCCCTCAAGGGGAAGAGTGGGCCGGGACACCTCTCTGCCCAGCAGAGTGAATAATGATTTTCAGTTTACATTAGAATATTCAATATGGTCCCATTTAAGGGAGACCTGCCCACAACTGCAGCATTTTTATCATTCTTTCAGGGGAAAATATGGGGTGTATTTTATTGAAAGACCTAACGTGACTAAAAAGTCTGACCTATGTTATAAAATGTTAACAAATTTAAAGAAAATGTGATCTAGGCTCGGTGCCTGTAGCTCTGTGGCTAGGGCGCCAGCCACATACACTGGACCTGGAGAGTTCTAATTCAGCCTGGGCCTGCCAAACAACAATGACAACTACATACAAAAAAATAAATAAATAAAAAATAGCCAGGCATTGTGGTGGGCACCTGTAGTCCCAGCTCCTTGGGAGGCTGAGGCAAGAGAATCGCTTAAGCCCCAAAGTTTGAGATTGCTGTGAGGTGTGATGCCACAGCACTCTACCCAGGGTGACAGCTTGAGACTCTCTCAAAAAAAAAAAAAAAGGAAAAAAAAGAAAAGAAAAGAAAAGAAAATGTGATCTAGGCATATAAACCCAGAAAACCCATCAAGATCTTCCTTCCTTGGTCACTTCCTGCCTCTAAAAAAAAAAAGAAAGAAAAGAAACTCTTCCTCCAAAGCCTCACGTTTAGCTTCGTGGGAGAGAGTCCCATCCCATATGAAGCCCTCACTCTAGCCCCATCAGGTTTACCTCGTTTAAAAAATTCTCCTTGAAATCACTAAACTCTATTTCCCTACCCCCTTTTTCTCCCTCTTAAATCTCAGTCCTTTTTCTCATCATGGATTGTGACTACAATTAAACCAAACATGTATTTTCTCTTTGCTGGTTTCACATTACAACTTTCAGTGACTTTTCTTTTTTCAAAGGCTTTGTCGTTCAAGAAAACATATAGAACTTCTGGAACACAGTGGAGGTGGGGAAGGGCTTTGATGGGACTTGGAAAAACAAAACTTACAACTGCAAACTTAGAAAAGTATTCGCAGTGTAAAACCTGGTTCTGAACTGAAGCTGACACCGTAACTTCTGATTTAGCTTTGTGTCTGCAGGGCTCTAGGCTGCCCCTCAGACAGGAGTCCCAGTGTTTCTTCCCATATGATCAAGATGCTAAATGCAAAATATGCACATCCAGTGTGAATTACTACATCCTAAAGACTTGTTTGTAAATATGGGAACCCAAGGGCTCCCTTAAGTTCCCTCAGTTATCAGCTGCTTTCCTTCCTTTGTAACTGCTATGGGAAGAATCACACAGCTGCTTTCTAAACCAGTCTGAGAAAAAAATGTTCCAGACTAACATGTAAGGTGGCAGAAGATGGTTAAACATTAACAGGACGGTCTGCAGCAAATGTGTGCTCTGCCACCATCACTGTGGCTTTCCTGTAGGTTGAAAAAGCAGATCATCCTTGGCTCACGGAGAGCTAAGTTATGGCAAGACTCCAGGGACTCCATCCACACCTTTCTTTACTCAAGGATCCTAGTGTATTATGTGGAAATGAAGCTAAGGGAGGAGTAAATTTTATACCCTTAGAGGGTCTGATCCAGACTGAAGGGCCAGCAAGGCAGGCAAGAGCACTCAGAGGGAGCATCACCAGGGCTGGGTGGGAGGAGGGGGAAGGCCAGTGGTGATGAGCTCAGAGGAGGAGCTCAGTTCAGATGTGTCCTGCTCCCACGGCAACTGAGGCAACAACAAGGGTTAATGCCCCACCCTCTGTCCACACCCACTCCTGGGGCTAAGGGTGGGAATGTTCCCCAAAACACACACTCCATCCCCACCCAGGACACAATTATGTTCTAGAAAAACACAGGGGAATTCTCTTTGGCTTTAAGCAATGGGGAAATGTCAAGTTTTCAAGGCCCCAAGAACTGAATCCAGTACTGTAATGCTGTTACTGTTACTACCCAACGCCAACTGGTGGAGTCTCTGAGGAATTCTGTAGCAGGTTATTTTTTGTTTAGTTCTGGGGAGTGGGAGATGGAGAACCCCAGCAGTCAGAGAGGACGGAGCATACTGAATAAAGGACATGAGTAAACAGAGAAGCTGTAAGGGAAGAAAAGGAGGCAGAAGACCTATCGGGCAGCCGTTAATTGCTCTGTGGGGGCCGGAGGGAGGAAGCACACATCAGCACAGGAGAATGATACCCGGATTCAGGTCAGGCAGAGATATGATTAAAGAGAGGACATGCAGAGTGCTTTTTCAAACAGGACACAGTTTTATACTGGGAAAAGAGTTACTGAAAAGAAAAACACTACACCCTCCCACCCAGGGCTCACACTCCTCATTCCTACAAATACCCGGCCATCCCAGGGGGCCCATCCCTGCTCCTGAGTTAGCTGCAGAGGCTGGGACTCCCCAAGCCTGTAAAGTTGCATATCCCTTTCCAATGTGTTCACACTGAGGGCTAAAAATCATAGCTCTTCCTCTATCTCCTGCCTCCCAACATCAGAACAAAGGCATCTACTGGGAGAGAAACACCTTCCCTAGTAGTCTGGAAAGGCCACCTAGGGGCACGGCCATCATTTCCCGAATTCGCCAGGTTTCTGGCTCAACTGTCAGCCCTGCTGTACATCTGTGCTGATCTGACCCAGGAGTTACTCTCCCCACCCTTGGCAGGGCCCACCTCTCTCGGCTGTGGCTTGGGAGTCCTACTAAGAAGTAGCCCTGCCACAGCTCAGACACCGAGGTTTGCTACAAACAACTCTGAACTGAACTGCCTCTCCCTCTCTCAGTTCTCCATCACCTGGCAGCACTACCTGTGCTATCATGGGATCCAACATCACTCTCTTTTGACTGGGGGATAAGCCCGTTTCTTCTCAGGGAACAGGTGGTAACTCCGTGTTTGCGCAACTGGTGGCGTTCACAGTTAGATTTGGTAGAAAAGAAGGCATCGCATTTTTGACAAGGGAAGGGTTTCTGACCTGAAGCAGGAAAAAAAATACGTATTTATCCGGCTTTCTATTGCAAGGAAAAAGCAAAGTCGCTTTTGATTCACTCTCTTGGGATTCTTGGCATGTTTCCCCCCTCCTCCACCCTTTCCTTTCAAGAAAACAAACAAATCACATTACAAAATATACTGAGAACATCAATGACCAAAAGCATCATTCTCCTTTAATGTAGGAGAATTTTATACATGAGTATAATGGAGCAAGTTTTTGACTTCAAAAAAACTAAAAGTAAGTTAACAAGGAAACCAAGATTTCTATGTTTAAAGCAAAAATAATAGTATCACAATTATAAGCATTACACAATAATAAACAACAAAAAATAAAAGTGAATGAAGGGATTTCAGAGCACAGCAAGAAAACACCTATATTTTACCACGAAGAGAAAGACACCATTTAATGATTTTTAGCGTGACCAGCACACTGTGATTACAGATGCTGCGAAATCACACGGGGTGAGGAGGCTGCGTGGGCCCTCCCAGGAGGCTCTTGAACCACTCCCTCCAGATATCTCTGGGGGCCATGCAGGGGTTAGTCAAGGAGAGCCCCCACCCGGGGGGCCAGCCCCTTCCGACCTAGGCAGCTGTGGCCCTCTCACAGGGACCTTCCCAGGACAACCCCTGTCTGACTTGTCCAGACGTACTGCAGTGACCTCTACTCAAGGTCACTTCGGTCTTAGCTGGCAAGAGACAGGAGGTCTTCTCTACATTAAAGGCTCTTTTTTCCCCTTGCTTGGTAGTAAATGAGTGACCAGCACAGAACGAAATCTGCATGAGGTCATGTGATCCACTTGACAGAGGTACACACAAGGAGAACTCTCTGGCAGGCCCGTGCTGCCCCCAACCCCACAGACAGAGAACTGCTGGGAGAGGAACAACCCTCCCTCCCCTGGCTTTCTGGTCCACCCTCTCCTTTTATTTGGATTCCTTCTGTACTGTAAACACTGGGTTTCAAATGTACCTGAAGTTCTGCTGCAACTTGTCCTGGATGTGAGGGAAAGACAAGGAAGGGGCAAGAGGAAGGAGAAGGGGAGTGTGGCTGAGAAAGGAGGAAGGGAAGAAGGGGAGGGGGGAGGAGAAGGAAGAGGGAGGAGGGGGTGGGGAGAGAGGGGAGGAGTAGAGGAACAGGGAAGGGATGAGGGGGATCCAGGAGAGAAAAGAGGGTGGCATATTATTTGCTGTATTACTGGGTTCTTCCTCCCCCATGGTCATTAGATTCTAAGGTCTCAGTTTCTCATCTTATAGGGCAAAGGTTTTATGTACTAGCAAATATGACTTCAGAGCCACGATCCAGTACTTTTCTCTTATAACCTTGAGACTGCCACAATCACACGCATGAGTCAAGAACTACCAGAAAGGGTCAACCAGCACAGCTCCCTGGAAACACAAATCACATGGTGACCTTCAGACTTCGTTTTGATTGATATCCACAGAAGCCTGAACTAAAGCAAGTGCCCAAGGCCATTTGTACACTGTGAACGTACAGCAGGGGCCTGGCACCAGGGGTGAGCCAGAAGGGGCTCGTGTGTTCCCAGAAAAACGACGGACCAGCCCAGACTGGCACCACTGCACAACTCTAGGGGTGCAGTTCATAGACAGTGCAAAGTGTGGGTCCAGCACCACCAACGGGACAGCACCGCCACACTTGGGCATCAGGAGTAATCAAAGGCAGGACATTTATTCTCGCCAGAACTGAAAGATGCTTTCCAAATCTCCTCAGGAGCTTTTCAAGAATATAGATGCCGGCTCGGCGCCTATAGCTCAACCGCTAAGGCGCCAGCCACGTACACCTAAGGTGGCGGGTTCGAATCCCCAGCCCGGACCCGCCAAACAACAACGATGGCTGCAACCAAAAAATAGCCGGGCGTTGTGGCGGGCGCCTGTGGTCCCAGCTACTTGGGAGGCGGAGGCAGGAGACTCGCTTGAGCCCAGGAGTTGGAGGTTGCTGTGAGCTGTAATGCCATGGCACTCTGCCCAGGGGGACAGCTTGAGGCTCTATCTCCAAAAAAAAAAGAATATAGATGCCCACAATAATTAAAGACCACAGATTCAGAAACCTGGGGGAAAGGTTGAAATCAGATACCCAGAAACCTGGTCTGTGTGCTGGAGGAGCTTCCTCAAGGGTCCCTTGCATACAGTGTGGAAAACCCACTGAATGCTTTAATTTTCCTCTTACCATTCTGCAGGTGTTTTCTGCTAAATTTATAAAAAAAATTCACATTTAAGAAAAATACATATCACACTTTAACATTACCAGCTGCAAAGTATTTCAGTGTTCATGGTGCATCTTTCAAATTATTTTTGCTTTTCATTAAAAATGGAACACGATAATTAATAATTTCAAGTAAGAACAAAATACTTTTCCTTTAACATTTTATTATTTAAAAGGCAATATCACAACTTCTCTGAGCCTGGACAGACAGACGGGAAGGAAACCAGGCCAAGAGGAAAACAAAACAGATGCTCATATGACAGGATTTTTTATTTCAAAGAAAATGACTGGTTTGTTGCTGCTACCTATTATGTGATTTAGTCTGTAATTTTCCCAATGGTGAATGTGTAACCTTCACAACTGGTTAGGACAGCTAGGCTGACATCCCATGATGAAGATTCCTATGAATGCTTAATTCAGGGGACAATTTAATGATGCCAATTTAATTATGAAGCTTCTCTAAGTGTACCTGAGGCTTATGACATCCCCTCCCCAAGGTGACTGTTAAAAGGATCAGCCAGCTAGTTTTCATTCTTATGGGACAGACAAGAAAGGAAGAGGCAACTAAATGATGTTATCTGGCAAACCCTGAGGCAAGAGCAAGGGAACCAGCAAACAACAAGCTTGATGAGACTGTGACCTTGGCCACAAAGACCAGGAACGCAGAACCGAAAATGTCACTCTTCACGTTTCAAAGAAAATCAAGTTTAGAAAGGTGGCTTATAACCAAGATGGAAAATCTGGGAACTGTTTCTTTTTTTCAGAAGACACAACTTAAGCGCCCTCCCCTTGGCCCCCTGGGCCTCCTCTTCTTCCCTCTGCCAGCCTTGTGTGAAGGCTCCCCTCTTTGGGTATTTTCTTTCTCTCTCTCTCTCTCTCTGGCAGAAGTGTACATGGGGCTGGGTGAAAATGGCTAAAGCTGCTACTTAACAGAGTTTAAAGCAGCCAAACTCAAGTGGCGTACGAGGAGCTTCCCACATTCAGGTCTGGACATCTCGCTGATTTAAACTCCGAGGCTCGTTGCCCATTACCCATGGGAGGGTGAGGGTAGGACTGTCAAAGAGAAGAAGCATCTGTGAGAAAGGCTGTGTGAGCAGGGGAAGCCCAGAATGGACATCCCAGGATCCCAACTCAGTCATGGCAGGAGGAACTGGGGCAAAGGGAAGGAGGGAAAAAAATGAGGACAAAGGCTGAAACGGACCGGCTGAGTTTGCTGGCATGCCTTCCTCCACCCGTGGCCTAAAAACACACAAGACAGTCCCGAGAGGTAAAGGCAGGAACAGTGCACTTTTGTCTCCAGAGGGGGTGACATATTCAGGGAGAGAAAAGACACCAGAAACTATACTCATGAGCAGGAAGCTGGGGGCTGGAGAAAGCTGGAAAGAGTGGAAGGCAGAAAGGCAGGTGTGGGGGTGGGGGTGGGGGTGGGGGGTATGTCAGAGATGGGAAAAGTTGACGGCCACACCAGCTTCCTCATCAGACAGTTCCTGGAGCCCAAGCCCAGGAGCCAGAAAGGGCTGAGGCCATACACTCCTTGCCTGCAGCCAGCAGGTGGGTCTCTCTTTCACTGGACATTTAAAATCAGGTCTGTTTTTGTTTTTTTTTTATGATAGAGCCTTATTCTGTGTCGCCCTCTGCAGAGTGCCATGGAGTCATAGCGCACAGCGACCTTGGGCTCAAGAGATTCTCTTGTCTCAGCCTCCTACCAGCACCTACCACAATGCCCAGCTACTTTTTAGAGATGGGTTCTTGCTCTTGCTCAGTCTGGTCTTGAACTTGGGAGCTCAAGCAATCCACCAGCCTCGGCTTCCCAGAGTGCTGGGATTACGGGCATGAGCCACCTGCCTGGCCATCAGGTCTGTTTCTTGATGCCCCTATATGGCATGAGTCAACTGCAGCACAGCATGTATGTGAGACAAAGTAGAGACAGTGGAGTGATTCCATGAACTTGCTGACAGGGTGGAGGAGGTGACCTTCAAGGTATAGACAGTTTGCTTAAACTCGCTCTAAAACCGGCTGCTGCTAAACACTTCTGGCTGGAACTCAGCTAGATATTAAAACAAAAACTGTCTTCCCTGTATAACACCTTTGTTTGCAGAGTAGTTGCAAAGTCAATGTTTAATTTCTGGACTCTTAAGTCTTGCCTAGGGAGCCAGGGGTCCACAGGGCTCTGAACAACAGCAGAGCCACTTCCTAGAAAGTCAGATTTGTGGCGAGAGGGGCTACTCAGATGATTTCCTACGTTCCTTCCAGTTCTAACACTCAATGAGTGTGAAATGTTCTCCCTCACTGGCACTGGACGTGCAATGTAACGAGATTTAATAAAGGTGATGCTGAGAATGTTCCTGGAAGCTGGACAGTAAAGGCATAGCAAAGGAAGTTAATGGAGCCCAGTGGGTACAAACTTCAACAGCATCTATGCATGTCACTAATAAGTCTATAGTTGTTAAAAGGCCAGTCAGTTAAAAGCATTCTGATCCACAGCAAAGTTCCTCCTCTATCTCAAACCGCTTCCCAATCTTCTGCAGGCAGACTCGTGAGGATACAGAGAGGCGTGTAAGGTGCACCCTGTCTGCCTTCACAAGGAGGTCCAGCCAGCCACATGCACCTTGACCCTAGGGCAGCTGCAGGGAACTCACCCTGGGTTGAATTGTAAGCTGTCCCTTTTATTGCCCAGTGACCACAGGCGACTTACGTAAGCCCCTCTAACTAAGCCTCGATTTCCACCTGACAAGATGTGGACACTATTGCCCTCACAGGACTGTCAGGAAGACTGGCTCTTAGTAGGTTTCTTCACCCTACCAAGACAGGATGTCAGGCATAGAGCCAAAACATTCACATCTATTAAGGTTATCAGTAACTACGAAGAGAAAGGAGGCAGAATACATTCATAGTTATACCCACCCCAAACCTCCTCTTTCCTTGCTTGGTTTGAGATGCTACCAAGTTTTAGACCAACACTGATATTCTGGCATTTGAAAGCCAAATAATCATGAGTGGATTCACAAGTGGGAACATTCTATCAGGCATCTGGAAAGACACAGCCACAACTCTTGAAAGGAAATACTGGCTGCTGCAGTCCCCTCAGGGAGACCATCCGTTTGCTGGGAATAAAAACATCCAAGAATAAATGGCCCCATCTGGGGGAAATGCTCACAGTAGCCACTAAGATCAAGACTCTCATCTGGGGAAGCTGGGAGGTGCATCGGGAAGCAGAGGGAGGGTGAGAGCCAAGCCAGCCATCAGATCCAGACCATCTGCTCTCCGAAAAACAGTAACAGAAAGACTCACTTGTCTAGATACTCTCAGTAAGCAACTAACAGGTGTCACCCAAAACGAGGAGCAAAAGAGACTACTGAGTTGGCCGCTTTATCTTGAAGATGCTTTTGCCTTCCTGAACTGCTGACATCATTACAAGGGTTACTTTACTTTGTCAGGCCTAAATTATTTCAGTGGGAAGAAAATGACAGCCTGAGAAGGCAGTATGTACTTCACCAACCTAGACTCCTGGTTCCTGTGAAGTGAGTCTTCCCTGGATAGGCACTCCTCGTTTACTACTATTTGACTCCTGGATTCCAGGCTCTACCACATTAGAGAGAAATGCTGAATTTATGTGGTAATCTCTGTATCACCAGGGAGGCCCCAACCCTCCTAGCTATGATTCCTACCTTCCTTTCTCTCCCCTGGCACCACTCTGAACACTGTCCTGGGCTTTGGTGATAGCTCTGTGACCCCCTCCTGCTGTTCTCCCTTGTATAGCAGAACAGTCTTCTATGAGCTTCTCCAAAGCTTCCTGGGATAATCAACCCTAAATAACATGTTTCCACTTTGGCACAGAGCACGGTTCACACTGAATTCCCACTACCTTCTCCTCACATAGTGCTGTAAACCTCCTGGCCATCCAAACACCAAATAATTTTTTAGTATTATCTCAAATACTACATAGAAAGTAATTACATTAAAAATTATTTGGTGTTTATCTGACATTCCAATTTAGCTATATTTTATCTGGCAATCCTATACCATATACACAGCACCATCTGGTATAGGTTCCATCTATTTATTAATATTTAGAGTTGTAAACTCTGAAAGGATTAAAAAAACCCAATTAAGAAAAGTTGGATAGCCTTTGAATATAAGAAGTTATCAGGG